CAAATGCCACATATTGTATTGTAGGGCTTGTCAGCTCATTAAGCATGCTGTTTAGCTTATTTAGCATGCTTTGTGGGAAACCCTGGTCAATGGTGTTATATATATTAATTAATGATGGCAAATTAAAATATGAAAACCATTCAATTATCAGCATTTCGAACATAAAAATAAAAATAAACTACATTTAGTTTATAGTGAAGCCCTGGCTTGGCTGCATGCTACATATAGTTTACATTGGTAAAAAATATTACTTCATGCATTGATGTGACTTCATAGTCATGAAGCATAGAAACACTACAAATGCAAAGTGAACTGCCTTTAATGTGCTATGAAAACCAGTTAAAACCGGTCTGAATAAATACGTAGACAATTGACGTAAAACTGCCCGCCCAGCTTAAAGCAACTTTTTAAATATAAAGGCACAGGGTTACAATTAAATACGCATCTCGTAACTAAACGGGCTTACAGCAACTATGAATAAAATTCCTATCATCATAATTGTTAGTACACTGGTAGCTGCATGCAGTTGTTCAAATGATCCTGTCAAAAGTAAACTTGAGCTACGCCAAACAAGTGGTGTAAGTTGCACAGATGCTGACTACGATGAACTTGTTCGCCTCACTGAAGAATTTAATAGCTGCAAGAGCTCTATTTGCAGGATGAACCAAACTGGTTGCAGCTGTTGCTCTGGGCAGTCTGATGCATGCTGTAATGCCTTTGCTGCTGGTCTCGAATTATATCGAATTTGCAAGGACTACATTGGAAGCAAAACAAACAACAAGAAGCAGGCTAATAAGATCCAACTAATGATCTCACAGTCTTACTCATGCAGCGCTGAGTTTACAGCAACAAATGCTGGGGCTGCCACTGTTCCAGCAACTTTTGGAGGCATCTTTTTCATTTCAATTTTGTTCCTCCTCTCAGCTGCTCTGTAAATTGAACTTTGCTGCTTAAAGAGTCTTTTGAACTTTATTTTCAGAACATTATTTTGATACTTTAGACTTGGTATTAATCAAGTTTATTGCTAATATAATATTGCTGATCATTGTAAATACAACATTCTAATAATAATTTTTTTGAAAAACTATATAATAAAATATACTGTACAGCGCAAAGCATTAACTAACACAGCTCCTAATTTAAAAGTAATATAATAAAAATAATAATATACTAATGAAACACAAAATGCTTTTATATTAAAATATTATCACAAAATCAATGGAGCAGTGTGTTGATTTAGAGCTCTTATATGCATGACATACATGTACAATGACAAAATATTAACAGTACATTATACTATTAAGGAATTCAGCTAAAATTTAGGGCAACTTTTTACCATGAATTGATGTATTTTGTTTAATAGCCAGTATATTGAACATCTACATGTAAGATCTAGTGCACATTGGATGAACAAAAGCTTTTTTAACAATGGAGTCTTAAAATCTTAAAATATATTGACTTAAAAACCACTGATAGTATAGTGTCATAACAACAGGTGTGTTGCAACATAAGAATAAGCTATACTTTGAAAGCAAAACTGCTACAGACATACCATCTCACATCAATAAAAAAACCCATTAGAAGATTCACATGTACATGTACACATAAAATGTTCAACTATAATAATTATCTTATTATCAATATCTCTATATATATGCCATTCACAAATTTCAGAATGAATAGAGGCTGTATGGTCTTATAGTTTCAACAACATATCACCTATAAGAAAGTATTTCCAAGAATCAAGCCTCCAAAAAGTTTTGATTGGTACCAAGCTTATAATATCTCCACTTACTTTCAAAAGGTATTAACAGTGAATTTTAATTGCTAACACATATTTTAAAATATGATAAATGAGCAAATTTACTACGCTGCATATCATTTTTGGTATATAACAGTAGTAGGTTCTGACCCATTCACATTAAAATATCTTCTTTAATGCAATAAACAGCCCATGTTATGTTATTGAAATTTTTCTACTAGCTAATACATGAAGTTAAACTGCAAAAAGCAACGTCAAACTACTACTAAAATCCGCTAATAGTGAGTATTGGATTACACTGTGCCTGTTGCTAGTAACAAAAGTTGGCT